CGAATCATCACGCTGAAACTGCTTATTTTGCATACATGCTGCACGCGGCATAGCACACTCGCACTGCAAGCAACACCACAATCGCGCAAACCCAGTTTTCAGGCTAACCTGACTGCTACCGCAGACCCCTTCATTGACAGTCCACTCGCTGACTCTTTGTGACCGCAGAAAGTGTGCAAAACCTTGTCTTATAGTGAACCTTGTGTTAGACGTGTTGACATTAATCCCATTCGTAGAGCAGAAACCTGGCGTCATGCACCAGCAAGCATTGTTATACACAACGACAATGTGCTGTACATGTACCGTACGGTGCAGTATATGCAGTGGTTTAGTATTCGATGTACAAGAACCAGCCTTTAACTTAACTTAATCATATTTAGTAATATGATTTGAATAAATAAAACGAAGAATTTGAATACGCCTACTTGTTCGATGCAACAGCAGAGAACAGTGATATAAATGGCCGGCCATGCCGCGCCACGCACTGTGGCGAAGTACTACCTGGAATCTGGTACCAGATGTTACACGTAAGTAAAGGTTTTTAAACTTGAGAACCAGTTCATGCATGTGAGGACCTGAAGTAGGAGGGCGTTGAAATCGGGGAGTTTGGTTGGTTTTTAATTTGCTGAAGGGGATCTATTTTGTAGAAATGTTCTTTCAATTTATGGAACAGTAACTTTCATTTTTAATGTGCGACAGGGTTGTGTGAGTTTATTTTGAAAGGGGAATGTGGGACATTGCTTAACTGAAAGAAAGAACTTTAGAAGGGTGTATTTTCCAAATCTATTTAAATTTTCTTGCCACTGACCATGCGGGGTCTTTGATGAGGATCATGTGTGCATTTGTTTTTCTCTGCATCAAAACTTCGTCTCATGGATGATTTTCGAGTCGGGTTCACTCAGTGTCCGTTTTAAATATAAAAACATCTCTTTCGGACCAGACCCGCTGTGATTTAAACTCCTTTGATGCCGCGACGTCGCAACACCCATTGTCGTCTTGAATAAAGCTTTCGATGGTAAAACCGCAGCTCAAATTGCCAAGCGGATTAGCATTACTGGAGAACTACTGACGCACTCCATCAGGATTTACTGGGATTAAGCTTTTTGAAGAGGCATTTTCAATTGTACTCTTAAAAATGCCTCGGACAATGGTTTTTGACTCTGCGAGTTAGGCAAAAATGCTTGTCTTGTCCATGTTCTTGTCTTAGCACAGCTCGTATTAAGTAAGTTTTTTCTCACAGAAATGTGTACATTTTGAGTGGGATTGAAAAAAATATGCCCATTGTACGTGGATCTCGTCTCAAGTGTGCTCTTGTTAATCTTGTTTGACTGTATGTGATTAAACAATGTTAGATAAGCTGGGGAATTTCTTTGAAAACCGAAAAGATTTCAGGCTAAAAGAAGGCTTTATGGTCATTGTCCTTTGTCATTTCAGACAAATGTTGAAATATTACAAATCACCTCCGATGAAAACGACACAACGGAGGCAAAAGCAGGCGAGAACGTCAAGTTAAAAGTCAGGGGCATTGAAGAAGAGGTGAGAGTAGCATCTGATCATGTCAGGGGTTGTGCAGCGTGGGACCCTGCCCACCCCTGGAAGTGCAATATCCTGGGTCGTGCTTGGCACTGTCAGAATCTGCACAGCGTGGTTCATTTTGGGTGCACACGTGGTTTGTACAAAGCACAAGGGAGCTGGAGCATAGGATGGGGTTGTAGGTTATCATCGATTACTTAGCCACTGCTTCATTAAAATTACAAACAAGTCTGTGGTATTGGCTCCCATAGAGTGGTGTGTAATTTCAAGCCCCAGCCAGGCATTCCCAATGTGGCTTATGTCATGCAAAGAGTTGATGACTTCTGACTTCCATTGGTCGACCATTAACAATTAGCCCACTACTCATTGCCCTCTAAATATTAGGTATGTTGACCATTCCACAAATACTCTACCAGATTGTCTTGTACGCAGTCATTGTCGCAGAAATGCAGATATGTCTCAAACTATTTGTACAGTTCTGATACAGTCAACTCTCAATATAAAGAACACTCTTATAAAAAAATACTGTTAAAAGAACAGTTTTGTAAGTGGGTCATTCTAAACATCGGGGGTCCAAAAGTGTGACATTTTCATGTCTCTGTTACACCTGATCTGTGTAATTTTACAAGGAAATATCACTAAAATTGATTTCAGACTACTTCTATTTGTTTGGCAGGTAGTTTGCATTAATTCATCACTCTTGGAAATTAGAGAGAGTGTTTTGAAATTACAAAATTATGTCAGATGTGATAAGGATGTGATGAATATTGGACCCGTAATTCAAAGATTCTTAAATTCTTGGGTTTTTTCTTAGTTTTTCCACTCTCTTTTGTAGCACATTTCTGGTTATACCAAAGTAATTTGTCTGCTCCCTGCAACTTTGTTGTAACGGGAGAAATGCTTTGTGACTTCACTGTAATCTGACATTCAAATGTAATACAGTTAGTATCATGCATATACATGACCTTTCCATAACTCACCATTTTGCTATTTTATGAAGGTTATGATACGCATCAGTTTGTTTTTCTGGTATGAAGGGCAGTTAGGATTGATTTGACAATGTCTTGGTGACAGTGGTAAGAGGGGTTGGAAAGTACACTGTGACTTTGTATATAGATGTGACCCGCATTTCTTTCTTCATTTCTTCTTCTGAAGGACGTGTCGCCAGGATTCGTGCTGTGTGACACCAGCAGTCCTTGCCACACATGCAAGGTCTTTGATGCACAGGTAAGTACACTCACATGTATGTCCTAAGAGTGGTCTTTCATGACATTGTGACAGTGTGTGACACATTGTCACAGGATCTGATACCTTGTGGCAGTGTGTGACATGAAGCTGCCATGCCCTGTCAAAGCACATGGCTTCATGATGCAGCGTAACCGTGTCACCTGTATGTCACACTTGGTACCGTGTCTAGCCTTTCACATCGACACAGTGTGTTGCTGATGTTATACTGCTCAGTAACTTTAACCACTTCCTGCCGGGGACTCCGGAATTGGAAACGTATGCTTTATATGCGTGGCCGGGGTCTCCGAACTGGGACAAAGGAAACAGGGCCCTGTAACAAAAGAGC